ACACAGCAGAAAAGCGCGCGCTTGTAAGAGCGTGACGTGGAGCCGATCCGCGAATCGCAGCACATTAAAACAATGACCAATCAGAGTCACTTAAGGGCAGGCCTTTCAGAGGAACTAGGAAATATATCAGTCGTTTTCATGTTACCTGAGTAGCTGTGTATAATCAAAGTGAGGTTTATGAAAAAATAACATGATTTCCTTCAAGTGAAACATGAGCACACATTGCTTTGCATCTTATTAACACAACCAAGCCTTGAAATTCCACTCTGGACCACCCCTTTTAAGTAGTTTGAACAAGCTGAAAAGTCATTTTTGAGTGCCGAATATTGTTAGACTCCCCAGAAAACCATAAAGCGCCGTTTAATTGTATTTTTTATATTTGCGCTTTTGTATTTTTCTATGCTTTTAAATTGTTTAATATATTTGATGTGGATACTAGAGATGCGCGGATGGGCTATTATTTCATCCGCAACCGCATGACAAAATTCATCATCCGTCCGCCATCCATCCGCACTAACATTTTTGACCAATTTTTAAAACCGCACCCGCCCGCCATTTGCTGATTGGGCTCTTTATTTGAATGGCTTATTCCTTTTTATTATTAAATGAATGTTTCTTTATTGATCATTATAGAATAGAGAATGACTTTAATGTAGACATGCAGTTAATCCAAATGTGCAATTGAAGACACTTTGAAGTGACGCTAAAGATACGAAGACGTGTCTTTTCACTTGATTCGATTCCTCGGTCCAAGAGTCTTTTCCTTGCGTCCTTCCCTCGTACCGTTATCCCGGTGGAGTGGAAACACGGGAAAGAAAGCAAGGAAAGGAAACGAGGATGCACAAATAAGAAATGAGAAGCACCCGAGCTCTCAGAATATCAGCAGTGAACTCCGTCTCCAATCGGCGCACAGGGACAAAAATAAATAAATAGCCTAAATTAAACGCACTGTACTATACAACTTTTTTTTATTGTAGTCTAATAGAAAACGCATTGACACATCATTTCAACATGCTGCTATTTAGCCTACTACTAAATGCCTATTTCACTTTATTTTTTAGTAAATAGATAGAATAATAAGTCATTTACATTATAGCCTAATAATATTTACATTTTGTAGTTGTCCATAGCAACCCCAAAAACGTACCTGCTTGCCTTCCACATCTAATTAATGGGCACAGTTTTTTGACTATTTTTTTATTTTTTATTTTTTATTTTTTTTTGCTGTGGATGTTATTGAGCTTGTAGAAATCGGAAACAACACCAGTTCTGCGACACAGATTAACCTTTATTGATATCTCTATCAGACAATACCTATTTTATATGCCAAAAGAAACAACAGGCAGTAAAAAAAATATTAACATAAATATCTTAATGTAGGCATAGGCTATAGTCGCATGCTTTGGCAAACAGTTGAAAAAAGTTTTAATAAAAACGTCATATCGTGCATAAGCCTTGTAGGCTCAGTCACCCCCACAATTAGAAATTAAATAAAAAAAACAGATATGCCATCCCTCTTTGAGCGAACATAAAGTCTGACCAGGCTAAAGTGCATGTATGACAAGTGCCCCAATAACCCATGGAGGATCATCCCCATTCCCCTCAAACTTGAAGCATAACGAAATACTACGCCATTAAAGTTGCGACAAAGAAATTCTGGCAAAATAACCTTAGCCTCGGAACGTAAAAGCGAGGCCAACATGTCTAGAATAGAATAGGCTAAACCAATATGAACGTAAAATTATCAGCTGACCGAACTCAAAAGTTTATATTAAACATATGTGTAGCCTAAATAACATAGGCTAATTGGTTTAATATGCCTGACTTTAGGTCTAGTTTGATTTTTTCTTGGCACAATGCAGGAATAAAATAGCATCTGTGTCAGGATTCAGACGGAACCGCCTGCATAGCCACTATAATGCGCCCTGCTGCACTGAAGGAGCGCTCGCTCGCAGCACTTGTTGCTGAAATGCATAGAATTCTCTTGGAAAGGTGCTGTAGTCGTGGGAATGCCTGGCCTTATTTTTCCCAAAAGGAAAGTAGATTTTTCTCTGCTGATCCGTCTATACGGAAGTTTGTAGAGGAATACTTCTGTACTTCATCCAGAATTAGTGTATCCGATTCCTCCTCCCATTCTGTGAAGTCAGTCCTAGGCTTTTTTGTTGGTGCGCCAGCTATGCCTATAAAAACAGTACAACCGCCCGCCACCCGCCCGAATTTAATTAAAATATTATTTTTTCGTAACGTCATCCGCCCGATCCGCGGTTTATCCGCGGAGTCCGCGGCTATAACCGCCAACCGCGCATCTCTAGTGGATACACTCAACTTCATGAACAAAACATCCCAATCATGCTAAAATTAACAATTCTTTCTAAATAAAGCTATTTAAGTCATCTGGTTAAATGGTATTCATATCACAATATATAAACATCGCAGAAAAACTAAATATCACAAAGTCATTTATTTACAGTCTCATGCAGCCATGAAAGCTTGTAGAAAATAGTTCTGTTTTTTGCATTTTAAGTGAAGATAAAAGGTGAAAGGTCATACCAGTGACCACTGAATGAGCTACTGTTTCCAGGTCTTCAGGGGTCACAACCTGCTGTTCGGTGGTGATGGGGACATAATGGATCTGTCCATCCTGAGACAGAGCAATCTGAGACACAACACAGAAGAGATTTACACTGACACCAGGGAACATTTAAACAAAAATTATGTACTACAAACAGAATTTGTTTTTCTTTTATAAAATAAATACAGTAAAAACTGTCGTCCCCATTCAGATGAGTCTGTGAAAAAGGCAGAAAAATGCTGTACTATTCACGTCAGGCCAGTAGTTGGCAATTTCTCTTTATAAAATACACTATGTGCATGCAAACATATGATGTTTATAGTTTTGTTGTATTGTTAAGTAATCAGTAATCTACACTTACATGTCATGTAATCTACAAAGAAAACATTTTAATTTAAATCTGTAGCATTTTCAAAAACTTGTCTTTAAAACTAAGAAACTACCAGAACTACCAAAAAACCTCCATAAAAAAAAACAATAAAGTTTCTGATTTAGTTAACACTTACATCATGCATTGATTTTACTGTTAATGTTAAGTAAACACAAACAGTTCAAGTATTTATAAGCAATCATGTTACATTTGAATTACAGTAATTACAACATAAACAAAGTAAACAAGTGTGCTAGTATTGGCTCTGAACTCAACCTGTTGTTCCTGTAGAAACGTCCCGTCATGGTTATACTGAATGTGAGCGATTTGCCCGTCCCCCATCTGCAATTCAAAGTCAGTGTTTTAGTCATGATGATGAAAAAGCATCCAACAGACCATAAAAAGCTAAAAATGCTTCTTGGGTTGCAGTTACAGATCAGATGAGCCATCAGTGAACTGTTCATTAAAAACCATGAGGAGTTCTGGACTCTTGGGTTATGAATGATGTAAAGCACAAAGACAAACCTGAATGTGGTTCCCATCAGATACCGCCACATACTCTCTTGGGAGCAAATGCTGAGCTCCATCCTGAGAGATGATATACTGGACCTGAGAAAAGACAGGGCGGAAGAGGCAGCAAATTTAATTTTGCCATTTAACACAAGGAAATATGAGGCTTAAGGCGCTTACTGGTGTTATTTTCAAGAGTCAAAACTATAAGTGTGATTTAGTTTTAGTTTTTTTTATCATATATTAAAATTTGTCCAGTATATTTCATCTCTAATCAAACATACACTGCAAAACTTTCTTCTTGGTCTCTAAGTAATTAAAAGATTGGGAAAAACAAAACAAAGTAAAGTGGTTGGGAGTAAGATTCATTAAAACTATATATTGTTTTGGATGTTAGTTTTGTTTATTTATTCTTCTCACCCTTCTCTCTCAGCTTCTCACTCCACTCTTAGTTTTCTTAAAGGTTCAGTTAACCGTCCATCATTATTATGATGGTGCCAGATCAACCAATCCCCGGATGAGCGGCGGAGATTTAAAGCTGCGACAGATGTGTGTGTGTGGTGTGCGCTCTGCCTCGGCATACCTTTGGGTGCCAAAATGTTGCATTTTTTGGCATGCTTAGGCTATTAGATGATTTATTATTTTTATTATTATTTATTATTCACTGTGGTAATTAGAGTTTACTTGTTAAACTTTGCTGGGTTTGAGTAAAGGCTTTGATGGTTGTTGTGTGATTCTAAACTGAACTTTATGACCTTCTTGTAAGGTTTGTTTTAGTTTAGATTGATTTTTTTAGGATTAGTTTGAGTTTTGCCTCCTGTGTAGTTTTGAGTTTGTAGTTTAATTAGTTTACATCGGGTGTCGTGACTGAAGATATCGATATTATTTATTTTTGTCGCCTAGTTTAGATATTAGATTTAAGGATTGTTTTGTTTTTTAATTTCTATGATTTGGCGTATCATCGTTGTTTTCGTTTAAAGACAATATTGTAAATGTTTATTTCTTTTTCTACTATTATTGTTACATCTTTTGCTTAAACCATTGAGTAAAAAATGCTTATATTCTGAATCAATTCCTGCCTCATCCTTGATCTGTCGCACACATTACATGTGTCTCACCTTAATGTTACAGCATTCCTTTTAAACATCATAAACTCACAACAACAAGAAAAAAATATTGTCTTGTTTTCACAAAAAAATGTCAACATTAAGGCAGCTTTTCATTAAAACAAAATATGAAAGTGCAAAAGCAAAATAAGCTTGTTTTTATATTATTTTGGGTGTTTTAAGGAGAAAATCACTTAATCCTAACTTTTTTTGTAGACTGTCAAACTTTTTACAATGATTAAATGAAGACACAAAGTAAAATATAATTCAGTGTAACAATAGATAATAGACCTAAGAATCTTATCAGACATATTTAAAACAAGAATCATTTGATAACATGTTTATAACTATATTTAAAGATCATAGTTTAGCACCAAAATACAAATAAATTATTATTTGAAATCTTTATACTTTCCACTATCCTTCAAACCACAAAATTTTGCTACTTTGTCTGCAAAAGTCTTTAAACAAAAAGGTTTAAAACCTTAAAACTAGGGCAGGAAAAAAATCACTTATTATTTTATGTATTTTACTAAATGTAGTTCAAATAAAAAATCTGTTCAAAACCAAACTGTTAAATGTGTGTTTACTGTTTATTTGAAAACAGCTTTAATAAATGAGTCTTACCTCAGTGACCTGGTTGTCTCCAGTCATTAAGTGCTGTATGGTCTGTCCATCTACTGTTGTGATCTGCTGAATATATGCCGCCTCCTCCTAAGAAGCATTTTGTCAAAAACATGCCTTTAAAACCTGAATTTATATGACATTTATACATTTACCACTTTATAAAATCTAAACCACCTTGCATTAGATACAATCTCAAATGTAAAGCTCTTCTTTGTGATTTTTCATAACCACCCAACATTAATTACAGGCTGTGAATGAGAAAGTGTGTAGCTGTGCAGTACCTGGTCAGAAAGACTTTGATCCAGAGCCACAATGATGTGTTCCTGACCCAACGCTTGCTGTAACCTCTCTGGGCTGATGACCGTTTGACCCGCCTGCAAATCTACAAAACACAGAAGAAGAAATTTAATGCAACAAAGTAACAAGATGTGTCTAATAAACAGACCAGGGCTGTGTGACTACAGTATAGAGGGGAGGAACTATGACGTCACCTTGTAGGCCAATCGGCTGCTAGCATAAAACTGGTTCCTTCAATAAAATCCCCATAAGATTTTCCCATAGACTTCTCGAAGATTGCAAATAATTAGCTCTGTGTTCAAACACAGTTCATTACACTTACACGTTTTGTCCAACAAGATAATCCTCACACGACATTTATACAGACCTACAGTACATGCCTTTTGGATAGTTTCTCAATGAGAAATACATTTGTTTTGCTTTACAGTTGTATACGTTTACAAACATGTACTGTACTGTTTTAGAAATGTGCCTATATATTCTTATCATAACACATGTTTAAATAAGTGTATTGCCTGCGTGCACATAGCCCGTTAACCGTAGCGAAAACCTAGCTATGACTGTCAATTACAAATCCCATATTCTTTTTCATAGACGACAGAAATGAGGTCTATCAAAAAGTCTATTAAACCGCTGCAAATGCCGTCATGGATAGAGAACATCAATATTCTTTTTTGTTATGAAGTACTGAGAAAAGCAGCCCATACAGTCACATATGATATACGTTCTAAGGTGAGTATAATTGAGTTTCAGGAGGAGTGTAAATATTGCATTTATAATTAAACATTTGTTCAGATGAAGAAAAAAGACAAAAAATCATTAGATCACGAATATTTATATATATTTTACAAATTTATTCACAACTTTGCATTACTGAAAGCAGGGAAGAGACAGTGTCCTATGGTAAGCAGAATCTTCATTAAATAGCTTTATTTAAATAAATGATACTCTAACCCTGATGAAACAAATGAATCTGTCATAATGGTCATTATCTTCACTCAATATGAAGGCCCAATAAGAAAAAAAAACAACCTATATAAAATATGATTTATGAAAACACTTTCACCAAATAACAGACAAATCCAAATGTCCAACACAAGCTGTAAATTTAAAGCGGGTTGCATTCCAGACCAGTTCAGCTCGAAGACGTATAATGTCTCTGATAAAAACAAATAAAATCAAAAGTGGGATGTATCTGATGTGTTTTGTGTTGTAAAATAAAGTGTGAAAGTATCTTGAGTTTGTGGTAGCAACCAACCTTATTTAAGCGATTTAACCAAAATCACATTTTAAAAAACCCATTGACTTTGGGACAAGGGAACCGGAACTCGCTTCAGAATTTTTGCATAAAAATTGACGTCATAGTTCCTCCACTCAATTATATTCATTCCAGGACTTACTCTGCAGTGTGGCTAAAGTTTCTTCATCGCTGTTGATGATGATGGTCTGCCGTGAGGGGACGGAGCGAGCTTTCCGGGGAGACGGCTCCTAAGTGTGAAGCCTCTCCATGTGGAACTTCAGATGTCCGTTACGGTTGAACCTAAAAATAATTTATGAGAGTTTCAATATGAGGGGCAATGTGTTTCTTTGTTTAATTTGGGGAAACATTTATGATTGTGTCTGTATTAATAATGTAAACAGTACAAATTCTAAGATTTGCTAATTTATTTGAATGATTCTTTCTCAGTTGCTCACCTTTGGCCGCACACCTGGCAGGAGTAAGACTTCTCGTTGGTGTGTATCATCATGTGGTGTCGCAGGTCTTTCATGTTTTTAGAGGCAAAACTGCAGCTGGTGCATTTATGAGGCCTCAAATATGCATGCAAGGCCATGTGAGTCTAGGATAAAAATATACATATACACATTTATATTTATTATACACAGGCAGAGACTTTAATCCAAAGCTACTTCACCTACACTTACGTTTGTCAGTCTGTGCGCTTTTTTTAAACACAATGTTATATTAAAGTTCCTTCATTTTGTTTTGCAAGTCAAATGATTTACACCCATTTGCAACAGATTCTGAATCTTTTCTCAGAGTGTCTGAAACAAATAATTTAAGGATCCTGTCTCTTTAATAGCTACATTCAGAGAGGGTATTATTTTCTGAAATCTGAAAAATCTTTTCCTCATAGGGATAGATATGCAAATAATAAGTTACATAATAAGTTACATATCAATATAAATGCGGGGCGAGGCGATGGATCCCGATGCCAGCTCAGCACCGTGAAGTTTGTCGGCCATCTGCGATGGAAGATGGCATCGTCTATCGGCACAACCCCAGCGTCTGGGGTCGAAGAGTGTTTCACTCTTCGAAAGTCTCAGTTATTATAAATGAGTTCTTCCTGTGTTGCGTCGTGAAGTGGCACAAAAGGGCTTTTTACCTGGGTAAAGACAAACAGACATGATCAGAAAACATTCCACCAATTTAACTAAGGCATAATTGTTGACAGGCATTGAATTGTTAGAAAAGTACTGCAACTTCAATAGATCAGAGTCATTTATCCCACTTTTACTACAGTTACCACACCTAAAGCCTATAGTTTTACTGTGATGAGATTTCTGCCATTTGTGGTCTATGAAACAATTGAAATCATTCAGGTCTTTCAGTCTCTGCTAAAGAGCTGATGATCTGACTCAGGTGTGTTTGATTAGGAAGATTTGGAAAATGTGCAGAGCTGGTGGTCCTCCAGGGACGTGGTTAAGAAACACTGCCCTAAATGGTCTGTAATGCCGTAATTTCAAGTGCAGCCTTTATTACACAAAGTTTGAGAAGTGATGCAGCTGTCATTATCACAGAATGATTATTTCTATTTCATTATCAATAGATTAAATCTAATCAGAGTTTTGCATAGCTTATCAGTGTACAATAACTCAGTGTAGTGTGTAGTAAAAGCTACTGCATCTGAACGCATGTGCTGGATGTTTATTAGAACCAGCTTTACTGACAAAATGCACAAATTATTGTCTGCTATTAATCGTCCAGCCCTATCTGAAGTATAAACAGTCCTAATAATTAAAAACATCACTCTCCAGTGTGTTTAATGGCGATGTTAAACACCAGGAAGTCTTCTTTGCTTGTTGAATACTTGCACTCTTCACATTTGAAAGGTTTGTCGTCGGTGTGGGACAGCTGATGATTGAGCAAATGCTTCTTGTCATTTCAGGACAAGAACTCGCAGAACTCACACTTAAACCTGACAAAGGATCACAGATAGAAAGAGATACTATGACTGTTCATCAAACAAGTAAACATTTTTATAGGGAAACAAACATATATACTTGTCCAGACATCTCACTTACAGGCTGTTGCCACTGTTTTCTTTGTGTGTGAGAAGATGCATTTTGAAAGTGTACCGCTTCTTGAAGGATTTCCCAAACTGCAAAGCAACACATTTAAACTAGTGTTAACATAGTAAATGAAAAGCAGTGTTTCCTGACTGTGTCAGAGCTGCTCTACAGAGAATCACTTCCTTCAACAATTACTATTATATTGAAGTGGACTGAATCCTCATTAAACCAAAGATAACAAAACAGGCATTCGGTGGAATTGAACATGTCTTATGAACTCAGCTTTTTTCCCTCCAGAGTTTATTTGCAGCATTCAAAAGCTTTACCTTGTCACACATGTGAGGTTTCTCTGTGCTGTGTGTCTTCATGTGTTGTGTCAGGCGTTTCTGCATGGGGTATACTCGACTGCAGATGGGACATGGAAACTCAGACACTTTGGAAACCTGTGAAGGGTTGAAACAAGACTGTTCTCGCATAAAAAACTCTGACCTCATCAGACTGTTCAGAGTTAGTAATATATCATGTCAATAAAATTAATTTTTAAATATTATTTCTGCATCTTGAATCTTACCACATCTATCTTTCGGCTTCTAAAAAGAAGAAACAAGAACACTGTAATCAGGTGTGAATTTTATGAATATGTTTTGTAATAACATGCAGACATTTTATTTAATTTTATATATAAATATATATACACACACACAGTTGAAGTCAGAATTATTAGCCCCGCTGTTTATTTTTATTCCCAATTTCTGTTTAACAGAGAGAAGAGTTTTTCATCACATTTCTAAACATAATAGTTTTAATAACTCATTTCTAATAACTGATTTATTTAATCTTTGCCATGATGACAGAACATAATATTTGACTACATATTTTTCAAGACACTTCTAAACAGCTTAAAGTGACATTTAAAGGCTTAACTAGGTTAATTAGTTAGGTTAGGGTAATGAGGCAAGTTATTGTATAATGATGGTTTGTTCTATAGACTATCTGAAAAAATATAACTTACAGGGGCTAATAATTTTGACCTTAAAATGTTCTTTAAAAAATTAAAACTGTTTTTATTCTAGCCGAAATAAAACAAATAAGACTTTCTCCAGAAGAAATATTATTATTAGACATGCTGTGAAAACTTCCTTTCTCTGTTAAACATCATTTGGGAAATATACACACCAGTGCATACTCAATTAGAGAAGCTTGGTATTAAGTGCCTTTGATTGTTACTATAATTTAATTCAATTGCGTAACATGTCTTTGACTGTGGGAGGAAACCGGAGTACCTGGAGGAAACCAACGCAAACACAGGGAGAACATGTAAATGCTGCCCAGAAATGCCGACTGGCCCAGCTAGGACTTGAACCAGCGACCTTCATGCTGTCAGGTAGCATGGCTAGCCACTGAGCCACCGTGTTGCCCGATCCTAGAATTGAGGTGGGAGAAGGGATGAATGGGTTGGGTCTTCCAAAGCGAATCTAGGGAGTAAAGCTAAGCTGGATATTTATGTTAAATTTGGAATAATACGATTGGCAAGATTATGATTACTGATAGGGACCGGCTGTCAATAGCCGCTTTTCCACTATCTTGCTGAAGCGTTCTATAAGTAGAACTGTGCAAAACGAGGCCAGACAGCACGGATAAGGTTTCATTTCCTATGACAAAGCTCTTTAAAACATTACACAAAACGCATACGTAAACGTAAACGGCTCCCTTTGTTCAATTAAACTTAAATAATAGCCGAAGCTAGTTTTTTTTATCATAAAAGCGAAAGCAACCATGTGACTGAACACTGTTATGTCGCTCTATCAAATAGGGGTGCTAAATATAGGTACATGTCACAGCACCCTTATTTATTTAGAGGTCATATGTTGCGCGGCTCTGGCTAAATTTTATTTGGAGGGAAAATGACCGAAATGTAACGCGATGATTGAAAATGATTGGAGGGGAAATAAATAATATTTATTATCTCTGAACATAACAGAAAAATAAACAATGATAAGGCAACAATAATAGAGCATTTGTATAGTGGCAGAAATATCATTTTGGACAGGCCTTGTCAAAAGTGAGCAAAACTTTCAATAATAAAATTATAGCACTTAAATTATTTCATTTTTAACAATCAATTATATTATGCAGTATTTTTATATTAAAAGTTGCTAATGATATAAAATATACTACATTTTGATGGTAAAATATAACCATTTAAGTGATGGCTGTTATTTGTTTCAGTATTCAAACATTAAATAATGAATGCAGCAAGTGAAATAATAAACGAATATGAAACAACACATATATAGCAGGATTTAAAGCATATAAAGGACTATTATATTTAGCAAAATGCTGCTCTTTTACCTTTTTATTTTGATCATTTTATTTTTATTATTATAATTATTTTTGTGTTCATAATTAACTAAAAAGTTGTAGGCAAATTATTGCTTGACGTTTTAAAAAATATTTGCATAGCTATTAAAGATCACAGAGAATAAAAAAAACAAAAACACAGAAACATGTTACACGCTCCATAAATGTCATATAACTTATGTATAACTGAATCATATAATTGCCTATAGCTGAAATGATGAAAAATGCTCATTTTATTTTTATAAAACATGTCAAAACATATTGATATTTTATGACTAAAAGCAATACTGACATTTAAGAATCCATATTTATTTAATTCATTCATTCTTTTGACTTGTTTATTAGTGCATATATAGGCTACAATATAAATCATACAACAGTACCTTGGACAGTTACAGTGCCCCTCCGTTTCAAGCAAAGTCTTTTGGACGGCCGACATTACAACACGCCGTCCTTCAGGTGGTCTCGCCGGTATTAAAATAACAAGCTGTCGTGGCTTTAAATTAAAAAGAGCAATTATTTCCTCGTTAAATAAGTCTGCAAGTTCATATTCCATGGATATAGCGATGTTGTTGTAGAATTTGGACATTGACAATGCTAAGCGTGTCTTTATTCGCTTTATTAGATGCGCAGGAGGAAAAAAAAGTCTTTCAGCAGCGCATGTAGTCGCTGGTAGTTCTCTCCCAGTCAGAGCGAGTTTTGTGCTGTGAAATGCAGCGCTGCGTGCAATAAACTCACATTCAGGCAGGCGAAGTAGGTCTGTATTCAAGTCAATAAAATAATAACTTTAATGAATAAAATATCTTCGTAAGAATGTGATGAGTTATTCACTTCTCTGCCAGAGACTGCTCTATGATTTTAAAACCGTTTTCAAACTGTATCGTTTAGACCTGGATCATTATTTTATATTAAATGTACTGTAGTTTATTGAGGATGTCTGATGACTAGCGAGAAACAACCGTAACCGTACCGAAGTGTTCTTAGAACAGTTTGGCATGATAGTGGAAAAGCAGCTAATAATATCCCACTCCTTTTGAAATTAGTTTGTAAAACTTCACTTATTTTACCTCTGTGACCCAAAAAGCTAGACTAACCCTAGCCTGAATCTGAAAGACAT